GTTCTTTCTGAGCTGCTGCCCAAGCATCACCGGAAATCAGAAATGACGTGGAATAAAAACTACCTCCTTTGAAGAGCACTTTTGGGTAGATGTGGAATCAAGCATGCTTGTGCAAAAATTGTGTCCCTCTCCAATAAATTGCTATTGTAAGTCCCTGCACCAACATTTCTGCTCATAGTTCCCTAAATACCAAGGTCTATTTAATTAACTTATTTATTTGTCAAGGAAGTAGCTGCTTTACCCATCAAGGGAGGCAGAGCACAAACCTTGTTCTACAGCTCTTTGGCCAAGGCTTGCAAGAGCCCTGTACAGGATGCCTTAGTGATAGACGACAGCAGTAGAAAAAGCAGTTTGTCCTTTACCTGCTCTGAGGTAAATAACATCAGTTATGCCTGACTTCCATTACACCATGTAATAGCCAGTACAACTGCCTGAGCTTGGCATATATATTAGTAACTAGCTATTTAAGTTGGGTTTGTTGGAGAAGAGCGACAATACATTCCCAGCGAGCAAAAGTCTGGGTTTGAAAATGGCAACCACAAAACAGAGCAAAACCAAACTTACTGAATATTCTTTAGGAAAGCAGGTGCTTTGCTGGGACATTTACTTACTAGCGATTCACACCTTATTTCTATTTATAAATCTGTAGGCATTTCTATGTCTGTCTCAGGCTTCCTGATGAATTGTGGTTTCAGGATCCTCTGAGCTGGGTGTGTGGCATTTGTGCTCCTTCAGGATTTCTGAATCGGCATCTTCTATTGGCCGCTGAATAATTTAGTGTTAACAATTTCATTTGGTGTACTTACGTATTTGAAGATCTTACAGTAATCTGTAATGAGCGATAGCTCATTTGGCTAGGTTTTAGTCCCCATGGATCGTACACTGGTACTAGCTTCAGATCACTCATACTGTTCTGTGAAGGGCGGAAAAACCCCAACCCCTAAGCAAAACATGTTTATTGCAACACTTATTTTTCCTGGTTTTGCAGTCTTTTATTTTGACCTGGAATAAACTCTTTTATCTGAATCGACTGAAATGTGATTTTGCCCTGGCTTCTTATCAAAATTATTGATTCTTCAACAAAAGGAAAACCATAATAAAAAGAGCGATATAGGATCGCTGGTCTCAGAAAGCTCTGGAGCAGTGTTACTTGCTGTCACAGGTACATCAGCTAACAACCGAGGCAAACGGGATATACCGCTCTGTTGTCACATACAGAAAGTTAAACAGGGCTTATACAACAAGTGTATATACAACATGCATGATAAAAGCATTTGTTATGAATACGTAGTAGCAGGTGTTAAATTTACATGAAAAGAGAGGAAATTACGTCCAGAATAGCTGAAATATTACATGTATATCATAATTTGTTCACCATTGCTTGACATAAAGATATTATTTAAAGGTTAAGTACTACAGTCCGTGGTTGCATAACAATTAGCTGTACACAACATTCATCAATCCAGTAAGAATGCCTTGTTTAGTTAGAAGAACTCGGCTCAGTGAACATCAGATGAACACATACAACTCTCCTCAAGTGGGTAAATTGAGTAAGATGTGGTTTAATTTGTATGAGATTTTTCAGCCCATGACTTCCACTTACTTTTTCCTCCAGTTCTTTTGGGCTGTTACGTTAAATTGTAGGGTTATTCTGAAGGCGGCTGTGAAGTCCATGGGACTCTGTCTCTACAGGAAGGGAAAACAAACATATTTGATCTACTTGGAGACAAAAGGTGTTATGTTTATGTAAACTCACTGTATACCAAATTACCATGTGGCACATGTTCAAAAGGCTTCTGGAACAAAATAAAACATGTTACACATTACAGGTATTCTCACATCCATGATTTTCCATTTGTTGGCCTATCTCATGAAAATCTGTTACCAGAAGAAATTTAGACCATCGAGGTAGTATGTAGAAATATGCCCTTGGCTGCAGTCAGATTTTTTTGGGGGAGAGAAACGTAGCTCTGAAGTTGCCTTAAAATAGTACTTTCTAGTCTCTCTGCAAAGAGAAAAGCAGTAAGTCAAAGAAGAGAGTAAATGTTTACACTTTGCTTACTCTATCTACGTGTATAAATCTCTAAAAGCATATTGCTGTACATAACATGCTGGCAGACCCTGTGTTGCTTTATATGTCTTGTTTGCAAACAATCTGGCTCTGACACATACCGTTATCCGAAACAGTCCTGATACTGAGAGTAGCCAAGGGCTCTTAATCCTCACGGACAGATACTTTATCCTATTTCTTCTCCTTTTATGCAAAATTACCTTTGTGTCCCTTCTCAAGACTTGACGTGTTATATGGCAGTTTTGCAGCAAAAGTAATTAGAGGTGTACATACAAAATACGTATGCGTAGCTATATTGATATGTAGAAAGAATGCATGGCAGGTTGTAATTTGAAATATGTCCGCTAATTTTTACACACCAAAAAACTCCTGCCATTCCTTAAGCGGGTACAAGAAAAACAAAAATGTTCATGAAAAATAAACATTTATATTCTTCCAAAAAAGGTAGTAAATAGGAAGTACCCAATGTGAGTACCAGCTACATAAAACAAGCACATATATAGTACACTCTCCAGACATATCTGTGAATCAAGCTATTTCAGCCAGAAATAAGAAAAAACCTGGAGGACTTCTCTAAACTGGGACAATTATGTAGGAAAAGGATAGGAAGAAAAAATGTGAACATCTTGGCACCATTGTATAGATACAGCTGTAAAATATCTAATAACCACTCCCTATCATTTCTAGATTGGTGAAAATGTGAAGAAATACCAAGCTGGTTTGTTACTAGTCTTTTTATAACCCATCTAAAAAGGACAATTTTCCCTCTAAGATTTTTCTGTTAAAAATCCAGTCAAATTATTTACCTGCAGGACAGAAGGCAAATCCTTAGGGCATGATAATTTCTGCCATTCATCAAAACTGCATATCAGGGTGTATTCTGAACTGTCCTGACTGTATATATTCTAATTGGACTGGTACAGAATACTTTTTTTTTTTTGGCTGAATTACCAAGACAGCCAAAGATATTAATTTCAAGACATTAAATTGAAATGACAGATTGAGCAGATCAGACAAAAATTCATCTTGGACCATTAAAGACATCCAAAGATACCAGTAAGAATTTCACTGGAATTCCAGTAAAAATAAGGAATAGCAATTGAAAATTCAGCCAACAATATTATTTCAGAACATTAAAGACATCAAAAAACATGAATAAGAATTACACTGCAATTCCAGGAAAACTATTAGGTTATCTGTAGGATTTAAAAGAGCTACAGAGCAAGAGCTTTTGGATGTCCGCATCTCATCATTGCTGACTGCATTCAAGATATGCCTTTAGTACTGACATGTGGGGCTTAACTAGCTCCAAAAAATCTTGTGATGTATCCACTATTAAACAGCTTCATCATCTTTTAGTAAAGTAATTTGGAAAACTCTCACTATCTGCCTTTAAATATTATTTGTTGAAAGATGAAAACCAATAAGGTAGTAACCATATTTAAACATACTAGTGTCTCTTCCTCTTTCTGTGAAGCTAAATTTAGAGCCTGCCTGGCATAAAAATGTAGCTGTTTGTTACATAGGCAGACTGTATTTTGCTTGCAACAGCTAATGGGTGAATTTACGGATCACAACATTATGTTCTCAGAAGACAACTAATTTTAGGTATTTAGAATCATGCACAACAAACATTTTGAAATGCGGTCCAGTTACTATTTGAAGACAATTTTTGTTACAGAAATCAGAAGCATAACATTTTATAGATACTATAGCAAGCTAAATACCCAGCTGGTGTCCTTTTATTATGTCTTTTTGTTACATATGCTTAAAAAACCCTACCCTTCCCATACGAACTACTGGAACCATATTTACAGTTGATGGGATTTTAAAAAACACTGGCTAAAAGAATTACTGATCTGTTTTCTTCTTCCTGCATCTGAAAGTGTAGGAAGAGAAAACGTATTAAAGCTTCAGAGAAGGGAAGGAATAGAAGAAATTCTGGAGAATACATTTTCTCCAACCATCTATCAGACAAAAAGAATGGGCTTTCAGAAGACAGATCTGTTTAACGGAAGGGAACATGCATGTCACATGATGTTAACCCCCCGCCTCAATTTTGTGTGAGTTATTTTGATGTGTGGGGTTTTTTCTTTTTTAAAGCACATCTCGCAGATTATTAGAATTTTTCTGAGAGATGTTAAAGCGCTTTATAATTCCCAACTCAAATTAAGGTGTCCTCAGAGTTTATATTTGTGTGAGATAACAAGTGGTAAATAGAAAAACTCATATCAAATGCCAGATCTCTTAGATTGTTCTCGGTGAGTACAATCCATCCCTCTGCAGCCGTGAAAGGTGAGCCAAAATTGAAATCAGCTATAGTAAGCTCAGCTCTCATGGAGGTTACTTTAGAGTTATCTGCCTAGAGGATGTATGAAAATTATAATTTCTGCCTTAGATTTTAGTTATTCCAGACTAGGGCAAGTTTACTCTCATTGTACGAGTGCAACAGGGGCATCTGGACCCCAAGTGACTTTTTAGAAAGAGGAAGGTCTCTTACTAGTGACTACAAATTCTCCTTCATGTTCCCTGTCCAACAAAGCTTTTAGCAGCAAATATGACATAATGCTAATTTCTATATACTCTATGCTCCTTCTATTTACAAAGTAGTTTTCCATTTTATTATATTCCATTGTACAACTTTACATAGTACCATTACAAGTTCAATTCATAGTTCAGCAATTCAATACATATTAGATAACTGCCTTTCCGTGTCCTGTTACACATTTAGCTTAAAAAAAAAAAAAAGTAGAAAACAAGCACAGTGGTGCAATGTCCAGGCACTTTCAATGTTGCTCAGCAAAATAAGCAAGCACCCTGTTTGAAAGCATGGTAACTTCTGGGGAAAAAAAAATTTGAATCTTTGCTCATCATGGATTTTTTCAAACATCCTTTGTACAGTTCCAAGTATTCCTGAGAAAGCTCTGTAAAACATGACTGATATGTTTATATTTCAGCAGTGGGTCTGAGTGAACAGTAACTTCCATCACCAGATGTTCCGCTGATCGCACAGAAGACATGTAGGGAGTCATGCATCCATGGCGAATGCATTGTATCTTCATGGTAGATCTAGACAAAACAAAACAATCACAAATTCAGTAAAAATTTCAGTTCACTATTATAATCAAGCTGTTTAAAAAGGTATGCAAAAGAGATATCCAACCTTGTCTTCAAAGCTGTTTCGCAAAGGCAGCATAACAAAGAAATGAGAAAGAAGAGTAATTTAGCAATTTCTGTAGCATTCATATACACACTGTTCTGTGTATTACTGGATCAGTTTTAGTTACAACTATCCAGCATAGGAAAGAAACAATTCTCTCTAGAGCAATTTTTTATTACATCTCAGCAGTAACAGAATTCTAACAGGTTTTCTGGTAAGCACAGGGAGTACCTGCAGCTAAATACAGCAAACACACCCTATGTCCGTGCCATGTGGCAAGATTTTGTACTTTATAACCTGAAGGATGGTCTTACAGCATAGGATCTAACTGGACTGGTAGAGCTGCTCTAGAGCTGACTGTGCACTTGTTTTTCACCCTGTGGTTCACCAGTCAACGAATTAGTTAGCCTGCATTTACATTAGTAGAGCTGAGATCACTGGGCACCATAAACAGTTTCTGGACATCTGGTTTTCTGCCACTCTCTGAGGCTTCCTGTACCTGGCTCAGGTGCAGTTTATAATTTTTTTGTGTTCACATTTCCCTAACTTAAAAGATCTGTAGATAGGTCACAGGCTGACCCAGTGAGTTACCCATCTGCCCTTCCATCTCAAACTAAGCGCACTGCGTGTGTTGTTTCAGGGCACTGACAATATTTAGAAAAGCATATATTATTTGCAGTGAGAACCCTAAATGAATAAAAATATACTTTTTATGTTTAACTGAGTAATTTTGCAGAAGAGGAAAACATGTTCCATTTAACTGTTAGATACTTAGGTCATTAGATGGCAACATGAAGTTCAAATCAGTAGTTATCCACAGAATGTTGTACAACCATAAAGAACAGTGCTCATAAACATGACCTTTCAAGTTATCTTTTCATTTAATACAAGACAGTGAAAAGCATATCTTTCACAGTGAGCCCTTCATTTTGGCATTTCAGTTGCTGTAATATTTTGCCCATTAACCAAAGACAACATGACAGTGGATCTGTGTGTTTTAACAATGCTTATTTGTTCTAAGATAATCTTAACTATTGTAATGCGATGGTGCAGAACTGAGTGATTTGTTTTTTATTTGACTATTGCAGAATTCAGAAACCAAAAAAGTTCCAGCAGCTGCATGCAAATTAAATGTCTTGGAAAGGTTTTCTTGCAAACAGTTTAGAGTAAGCAGGTGGCAACTCCTATGAATGAACAAAATTCAGTAGTGGAGTATACATGGTAGGTAATGTACACGAAAAAAACCTGTGTGCTGAATGTGTGAAATCAGTAGTTCGCATACTAAGAAAAGGGTGGTCATGAGCAGAATAGCAGGGAAATCTAACAAAAGCAAGGGGGATGCAGCAGTCACTTATTCTCAAATGAATCCCCCCTTATACTCCTACAACAAAATTCAGCCCCACCATGAGACTGTTTCCCTGGAATGATCCTGTACTCTTCCATAACAAGACTCTGTTTGATTCCCATAAGCATTCTGTTACTGTAAATAAACCTAACTTACAAATAGCAGCCTGTTGCAGTTGTATTATTCTGCCACTTGCACATTTTTGGATTAGTTTGAGCAACTGCTCAACTAACTGTGGAATTTGCCTATATATTTTTAGTGACTTAAAATGTTGCATTTTTAATTAATAGCCATAATAGTATGTTGAGTAACTGGGAGATTCTGAAAACGTTCTTCTAAATTTCAAGTACTGTGAATCACAATGCAGTCTGTACCAGTCATTTTATGTGCTCGATACTATAAATCTACAATGAGCTTTCTTTTGTCATAATGAAGGCAAAATTTAAGAACAGAAATTACTTCAGAAAGCAAGTTTTCATCTAATTTCACAGCATGATATTAGGTAGAAAGTGCAACTGTTCTTTGAATCTCTCACCTCTACTATTCAAATGTATTTTCCTAGAAAGATCCAAGAAAACACAAAAACAGGTCAGATAAATTCGAACAAATATTTTAACAGTGCATATAAATAGCACGTTGGCATTAGGCCAAAATGAAACAAAAATGCCCTTTAATGAAAATAAAATTTAAAAAAGGAACTTCAAGTGGATAGAACTGAGGAAACAGAAATTTTGCCAGATAATTTCAACCTATGACTATCACAGGATTCTTAAGACGTAGAAAACACAAGGCAAAACATGGCACATGATTTCTGATGACCACGGCAGCCAGGAAACTAATGGTATGTGTCAGTGAAGACTCCACCCTGAAGCACATTGTATACCAATACCAGGCTGAGACTTTCAATCAACAGAAACTGGTTTTAGGAATCCACCAATTGCATTGTTTACTTTTCACATTCAGTTACTCGCCTTTTTATATTTAGCTAAATAACATGAAAGTTTTCAATTAGTTTTCAGCATTAGCTAGTTTTCAAGCAAGAGAACCACCTCTGTGGGCTCATGACACGCAGTACGTGCCTGTTCGTGGATGATGTCAGAAAGCTCTTTCACCATATCCCGAAAGTTTGATTTTAGACCCTCGTGGTACTCCACTTGATCCTCCTTAATGAGTCGCTCGTTGAGCTCCAGAGCAATTCCACAGGCTTGTATGAACTTCCTGGGGAGAAAAGGAATGGACTTTGGGCGTTACAATAGCCCAGTCTTCTACCACTGTAAACAACCAAACAGACAGGCAAATCTCATTTTTTCCCCCTTTTCTCCAACATCTGGGACTAGTCACATTCTAGGAGCATCCTTGGCACAGTGGATCAGGGAATGGGGAGGGACTGCAACATAGGCATTGGGCTTTCTGCCGGAGCTCCTTCAAGCCTGGACCCTCAGTAGACAGGACATGTGCATCTGCAGTGCACCACAGTGGTCTCACACCTTCACGCCAACTCGTAGGACCACGCACAGCTTGCAGATCAGAGATAAACCCAACTTGCTGCACATAGGTCACAAAACAGAGGGAGGCCATGCTCAGGCAGAGAGGGGAAATCAGTCATACAGGGCTTGACAGATCTGGATGAATGTGATGTAACATGTGTGCTTGAGAAGTCAAGTTGCTAACAGCAGACACACCCTCCAGAAAGAAATTTAGACCATGGGAGCTGTAATAGTGTTTTGTTGGTGACACTCACTTTTTTCACTTAATTTCACAAGCTTATTTCTTTTTTATAGACTACAATGAAAATACAACTGGGATTTTCCAGGATTTTTTGCATGAAATACAGATTGTGTTTGTCCTTCTGGCTGTACTGCAAGGCTGGAAAGTAAAACCTCCTTCCCTCTGCTCTGCATCCATGTGTGGCAGGTTTGCAGAGATTGTTCCCTTTTTTGTTCCATGGTTTGCTGGGTTACTCAATACACTGAAGGAAAACAGGATTGGCCCAAATGCTGCCTTCTCCATACAGTGGCCAATGGGCAAAATGGGAGTCACCAGCACTCAGTAATGAATGCAGGAGCTGGTGGGTAAATGGAGTTCCCAGGAGGTCCAGAAAATAGTGTGGCAAAAGCTCATCATCCTGAGGTGAAGCAGGAGCTGCCCGATTGTATCTTGGGGGACACTTTCAAGTGGGAGGTAAAACCTACCCTAAGGCACAGGAATTAGAAAAATGCCTGAGCAAGACATATAGTTGCAAAAATTAGCAAGAGAAACAAGAATGATGGTCCTTTGTAAACTGGGAAGGTATTTGCTTTAAAATGTTTTACGTTCATCATTATCTAGTAAAAAACCCCTTTGGAAAGACTGGGAAACAACGCACAATATAAAAGATCCCTGACACAAGACTGCCAGACCTCTGGTTTTCAAACATACTTTCCTCACATGATAATCTCAAATACCCAGACAAATCATTGAAGCAGGCATTCAAGCAAATCTCCCTATGAAGATCACAGCCCTGAGCTTGGGAACTCTTGACATATATAGTTACATTGACTTTTTTCACATGTCTGAGCACCCACAACCCTGTGAGACCTGGATCTTAACAAGGCACATCTAAGCATTCAGCATCTGCTGATTTTGGAGACAGACAGAAACATAAGCAAAGCAGATAGCACGTTCCAGCCAGCTGGCTAGTTTTTATTACATTATGAATCCTACCTGAACATTTCTTTTAACTCATTCACCTTCTTAGTAGGATATTTGCTGGACTGGCAGTCACTTAGGAAAGCTCTAGCGTAGGCCAAGGGACCAGCATTAACCTAGAACCAAAGAAGTAAGAAATCATTTATGCTAGAACTTCTGTTGAGTTGCTAAAGGCAATTGTGAAGGGAATAACAACTTTTTAAAAAAATCAAACCAGCCAACATTAGCATATTATTTGAATGCCACCAACTCTGCATTACTAATGTCACTGGAGACACTTGAAGTTTCAAAAGTTGAGTATTAGTTTTTCTGTCTAGCTATTTTAAGACCAAAAGAAAACTGGAGATAAAAAGAGGGATGCAACCTATTCCCTTATACTTTCCTCTTATTTCCATTTGGAAACACAGTATGGTCTGAGTCTTAAGGTCATTTACCCAGCTTGAGAAGTCAGGCTCACAAAAGCCTATTTGTGCCTGATACCTAGTGTACAATTTTCAAGAGTTAAGTATATTTAAGCACTCAGCCATGGCCAATTAATACAATTACACTTGGACTTGACGCTGTAAACACCACTGGACAAAATGCTTATTACCATGAGCCATCTGCTAATGTACCGCTGTATGTGGCAAGGCAAGCTGTGCTGGCAGGCTAATGGCTGCAGTGCTGCAAATGTGGTAGTTAATGATTTCTAGAAAGTAAATGCGTTGCGTCATGAAAAGATGACAGTCCGAGATGTGTATATAAATGTAACTTTGAACAGACATCAAGCCTTACCTGCACAGAAACACAGCCCTGCAATTTGAGTTGCAGCTGGATCATGTCAACATCACCAGCAGAGCAGAGTTTCTGCAGCTCTGCTGTCTTGTCTTTTATTTCATCAGTGGCGACATCAATTGGTTTTAAATTAACCTGATGTTCATAATTGACTGGAATTCTCTTCTTTACGTATGGAAAGGAGTTCAAAGCTAGCAGAAACAGCAAAAGAAGTTTATAGATTGAAGTCACGTCGCAAATAGGAGTACTCTTCATAGAACATATACAAGCAGATTCTTGCCCTCAGGGTTTTACTTGGTGCGTGTGAAAACCCGAACAAGGCTATAATTTATCAGCACGATTTATTAATTTGAACATAGAAATATAAATTCCCCCTCCCACCCAAAATATGATATCACAATTCTGATTAAGTAGCAGAGAGAATTTCTGACTCTTTTGGGATATTTGCATGAGCTAAAATAGTCTAAAAATCGTTGCCAATACATACTGTTGCATATTCAGATGCTCGTACTTACTAGTTACAATAGTCCTTTTTTTACACTGTTCTTCCACACTGCCATGCTTTTTTCCAGATAAAGTGTAAGGAGTTTCAAATACAAATCTATTGATGTTATGATTTCTTTCAAACTCAGTCTTTCTTTCAGAGATTTCTTTGTCTTCAAAATACGGCTTCACATAAGTCACTTGAATATGGGCATATTTAGGATCAAGGTCTTTAATGTTGACCTACAAAGTAAGAGGGTTATTCACTAGAAGAACAAAGGTTAATAACTTAACTTATAATTTCTTAATTTATCTACTGGGATATGATTTAAACTGATTCCCTGCTGACCCAGCCCCACTGCATGCAGGTGAATGACACTCCAAACACTCCCTTTGACCTCAGCTGTGATGTCTAAGACCATCCACTAGTAGACACACAAGACAAGGAGGTGTAGCACAAGAAATACCTCATCTGGTGTCAAACAAGCTGCATCTGGAACAGGTAGCCATATCACCTTATCCATCAATGCAGCACATGCCTGAGCTACTTAGTCCTTCTAATATGACCATATTGCTTCCAGGCCACGAGCTAGCGCTCATACAGTGCTCTGCTGTGGCGTGCAAAGCTGCAGACTCACACAAAACAAGCTTTGGGATCACCAGCATTGTCTTGGGTAACTCAGACATATCTGTGGTTGCAAATGAAGGGTGTGAGCAGCTCTTGCAGGGGTATTCCATAGGAAAAGGAAGGAGATATGGCTGCAAGGACACTCAAGATTTTCTTTTAGACTTGCAGTGTCAAAGCAACAAGTAACTCCACTTCCAGTCATCTGCTCCTCTGTGCTGGCTCCTAACACCTCCCAACAACAGGGCTCAGTGAGATGTGCAATTTCCCATTCATAATTCTCAATTCATTTATTTCCACCTGTAAGCCAGATCAGCACCAAAAATTGTCAAGCTGTGCAATATGTCCACACAGGGGCATGAGGATGCAAGGGACAATTGGAAGCAAGGTGCTTTTAAGAGGGCGAAAGAGAGGGCTCGCTCCTCCCTTCCTCCTGGCTCTGTCATCTCCCATCTTCAGCTCCACAGAGCAAAGCTCATCCTTTTGTGGTCCATTTGCACAGTGCTTAGAGCAGTGCAGTCCCAAGCCCTGACCAGTATTAGAATACAATCGATATTTTTGTCACACTCATCAGTGCACTCTCTAGTATGTGGCCCTGATGTTCACTGCTAATAGCATTTTGTTAGCTTGTTCATGCAGTTTAACTTTACCTTGTTAGAATCCTGGATAATCTTTACAGTATCTGACCCAAATTTTTCTCCATAAAGTTTAAGCAGTCTGAAGGAGATCTCTGAGAGGCCCGTCAGCTTGGGTTCCTTATAGATGTATTCCTTCCCATCTTCTTCTTCAAAGAATGTCTAGCATTAATCACAAACAAGTAGTAAGGAATAGGTGGGTTTTCTTCACCGGGAAAACTTTATTTTAGATTTGCCACTGTGAAAGCAAGTTTCTACTAACATTTCAGAAAGTCAAGAAGGTTTAGAAGGCTATGGGTTGCATAAAGTCTCACTGAATTTGGCCTGTTTAATAGGTTCAAAAATTGTGTAAAAAAATAATAAAATTTCTCAACCAACACAAACACGTCATTGCTGAACACAAAGGCTTGAGTATGACCAGTGAGAAATCTAAACGATGTGGAAGATGGGTTTGGCCAGCAGTCAACTTTTTGCAAGGCTGGAAAAAGGCAAGTAGGAGAAAACCCACAAAAACTAGGCATAGAGCAGGAGCAGAAAGACACATAAATTGAGGAAGCCCTGACAGCAGAGGCATATGAAGAGTCCCAAGACAAGGATTTTGTGTAGACAGAAAGGGACTTCAAGCGACAAATAAAGAAACGGGTTTCCTCTGCTTTGATTCCTCTTGTATTCAGGGAAGTGGAACTTGGTGTATTTGCTGTTAAGTAGAGACAGAATTGCATTAAAGGTTGTGCCTGTGTCACATCACCAGTCTTCCCTGTAACGGAAACAGCATGAAAGCTTCATGCTTCGGCAAGCTGTTCCAGTCAGAAGTTGTGACAGAGTGTTAAAACTATCTCTGTGTAGCTGGCATATAAACCTGGCAAAGCTTTAAAGTGCAAAACTGGCTCAAGTATTGGTTGTCAGGACAACAGGTACACAGCGTAATTTTAGGGACTGATCCAGTTACTTTTACAGCTTCTAGAAAACTAAGTTAGCAGTTGTTTCCTTTTATCTATTGCTAAGCTTATTTTCTTTTTACATATCCAAAATCTAAGATGAGGATAAAAATAAAATGTATGTTTGCCAGAGCAAAAGTCAATGCTCTGATATGTTGTGTGTGTAATGACAGTGGTGTTCAAAGGTACAAACCCAAGATGGTTTCAAGGGTATTCATCATCTCCTCTAAAAGAAGGAACATGGAAATGCAGGGCTAAGATGATTTACATAGCATTTTCTAAAGAAGGGTCCTGCATCTCCCCCATGGTTATGGGTCCACAAGCAGAACCAGAAAGTTCAGAGACACAAGGGAGATGAGGGGTAACACACTTTATTAGATTAATTGCTATAGCTGGAAAAAAAGACATAAAAACACAACTGCTTTCAGGCTCAGAAGACTTAATCAGATATGATCAGATCACATGCCGTCTTGGGACTCTGAGCCCCAGATCTTGTCAATTTTTCCAGCTACCTCAGCTAACAAAAAAATACTATCTCTACAAGTATGTAACCAACACTGATACATATTTTGCCTCCAGCCTCTCCCATAACCTTTTACTCTACTAATATCTAGAAAGCAGCACCAATTGTCTGTAAAAGAAAATGTCTGTTACTGCTACTGTTCATATACTATGGTTATATAATGTTACTGGTTATATATTATACACACGAAATTGTGTTTGTGTAACTTATAATAGCTATAATTGCAAAAAACCCCAGTGTTTTCTGAACTCACTAAGCCACTTCCTAACTGCTGAGCCCACTGGCAGAATCATAAACTTTATAGTAAATCAAGTTCTCCCGGGGAGGGACACAAACTGTCACCTCAAGGGTGCAATACTGAAACGCTCCCGTAGTTGTGCCAGTGGCTGCACCAGAGGACCTAGTAGGCTTTTCAGCTTCAAGTCTGAAACCAGCAGCTTTAGGGGCCAGGATGCCTGGTGAGGGGTATCTGGTGAGCTGGTGTATATACTTACTTGTCCATAAAAGGCCACTCTGAAAAAGGTTCCAAGAAGCCTCTTCCTTGTGTGCATTACTTCCAATATCTTAGCATACGCTCCATGAAGTGTTCTGTACAGCTGAGTAAGTTTCTGGAAATGAAATCTTGACATCACTAAAGCAGATTTTTGCAAGCAGGAAATTCTAGCTAACACTTGGAAGGTACTGAGATACCTGAACACAATCCTTTGGAGAATTCAAACTTGAATTTCTAAAGAGGTTGAAACTCAAGCAGTTTTCTTTGAAAAACCTCAGTCTTAAGCACATGTTTAGCTTCAGGTCTGAAAGGTACCGCAGACTGCAATAACGTCACTATCCTTAGTGAGAAGGCTGAGCCTACTGTCCTAGCATGTTCCCTGGCCGAGTCTTTATGGCTAGAGCAGCCTGCAGTATTTTACCCAGAAATTATTTTTTGATTAAAAACAGCTTTATGATGAAAAATATATCAAGGCTTCTCCTAGCTTCAATTATGTAGTTGGATGCTGTCCTGATGTGGAAGAGGTCATGGGAGAGGAAGAGAAAGAGGAGCACTATTCAGCAGTTGAGCAACAGCCTCACCAAAGCAGGGTTACAGCAGGTGTTGGGAAGGAGCAAGACGGAGGGCTGGTAACAGCTTCCTTCCTTCCTCCCCACTTGCCACTGCATTACCTGCAGATCTAGCTTTCTTTGAACAGTTCTCACTCTGTTTTTAACGCTTAAAATGCTGAAGTCTCAAAAAGAATCTGGCTTTGATGAACATATGGGATGATGACAGCTTTATTTTAGGGAACGAAAGGGGGGGAATTATTCACTAAATATGAGTCTTCTGTGTCTTTAGCTTTAATAATTACCCTCCAGACCATTGCTTTCACTAATTTCTTTATTGACCAGCAATGAAGCACAGTGTGTGCTTTACTGACAACAATTCATTAACTCATAACTTCAAAAATAAAAAAGGCTCCTGTTTTTTTCTTAGCAATGTAGAAAATTACCTGATAGATGCATATTAGTTCAAAATACCTACCTCAAATTCACGCCGCTTCTCATAAATAGGAATGATCAGTTTGGAAACTTCAGAAATTGTTTCATAACGCTCTGCTTTCCACAGGCCATCTACACATTGCTCCAGCAGCTCCACCAGGACTTCCTACGAGAGCAACCAAATGGGTGTTGTTAATAACAGTTGAAGTTACAAGAGAAAACCATTTTAACTTCAGATACTTTAACAGGTCCCAGTATGAGTAGTCACAGTCACACAAGTTCAAACCCTGTGTGTTCCTGGCCTTTCCAAAGATATTCTACATTTTGTGGAAAAAACCCAAACAAACAAAAAACCCCAAACCAGGACAAGTTTTTTTAAAAAATGCATTCATTCTTTATAAATCATTAGCGCAATATCCAGCAAGTATGCCTTGATTATTTAGCTAGGCATTCTCTCCCCAGGAAAATGCCAAAACTCTGGGAGGGTATGGAGATGACAGCACTGGAAGTCAGAGGTACATGTCTAAGAAACTTGTCCAAGGAACATGGGTGCAATAGCAGTAGGATGCGATGCTAAGGATCCTCAAGCCTAGTCTTGATGAACAGGCAATTGGGCAGCTGGGCTGCAGGGCCACCTCGCTCAGCCATGCGGCCTAAGCAATGCAGTTGTATGGGCATGGAGCAGAAGTAATTGTGAGACTCTATGACTCATGGGAGGATCTATCCACTTCCCTAGTGCCCTGCTATGGTTTCTGGATTGTTCTGCTAACATGGTGTCCTGCAGCACAGCTCTAGCTGAAGGGGAACCTAAGGTGACCTCTCAGTCCACAGAGCTTGACTTGCATTCTATCCCTCCTTAGAAATACTGTACTGCCCTGCCCTGTGCTGGCAGAATTAGCATTTGCATAACATGGCAGGCAAAGATTGTGGTGTAGCTTTTTCAGTCTCAGTGCTAGAAAAGCCTTTCAAAGGAACCAAGAACTTACACCAGTTTTACCCATCTTAATTGTACACAGAAAACCTTTCAATGCAGATTTCTCTTGGGAAATTGCTGTGGAACAGTGTTCCTTACAGATGCCAGTGCACAACTATAATTTGTTAGAGCTCATATGAACAAAGTCTAAAACTAAATCCTAATCAGCTATCAAATATCCTGTAGTCTATACTACAGGACCTCACCTCACTGTAATGTACATCCATCATCCCACCATCTTCTTTCATTGCACCTTCTTCGTCAATGTTGGGAGTGATTTTCCTGAAAGCAGTGCATCCACTGGGGAAGAGTTCTGTAGCAGACAAAAGCAAATGGATTAGTGGAATAACATATCTCAAATGCATCATGCTTTAACGGCCAGGGAAGCAGTCTAGCTGACAGTGAGTCCTACAAGTAGCAGGAGACCTGACTCCCACTTTTGCTACTGTTTTACTCTGAGACTGAACACATCAGATCCTCCCCAGCCATTTGCCACGGGAGTCATTCCTAGGGCGTAACGAACACTGAGCACAACAGATTTCCCAGTGTGCTATCTGGAAGTCATCTTTGACCAACCTAATCATCTGTGACCAACTAAAAGTCAGAAGAGAAAGACAAGGGTATATCTTTGCTCAGAAGATGCAAGAAGTAAGCTATTGCTGGATGCTGGAGAGCTGGGTGGTAAGTGAACAGGATTGTACACTCCTAGCAGAAAGCACAGTTATATACCCAAAAACTTCGAGTAGTTCAGCCTTTACTGAACCTTTCCAGCCTATGTATATGTAAAGAATGCCAGTGACAGAGATAACTCAATGTATTCACTTGATATTCCTTTGGATTTGTTCCTCTTTTTTTTTTTTTAGAAGTTCTCCTTTACCATCGGTTGTGGTAAGCAGCCTCCAGGGTACAAAGAATTGCCAGCTTTCAATACTCTCCTCCCTGCAGCCATGTGAAATGTGTATACGTATCAGAAAAACAAATCCTGATTTTTCCCACTTAGCCACGTACAGATTTTGGAGGGACTCCAAGTCTGCTGAACAAGGCACTTCAGATTTTTCCAGCCAGGGCAGTGCATGTAACAAACTTTTATGCAGCTTTAACTTTCTGAAATGTTAAGTGTCCATTTCAACAATTACTTCCTTAAATGGAAATGAAAAATGGGGTCAATATATCAGTCGTGGAACAGATATTTAAAAGAAAACCTGCAAAGTGGTGTTACTTGAGAACAAACATCTGTCCGTGTCCTTCCTTCCTGTTTTGCATTAAACCACTCTCTTTTTTTCTGATTGTTCTTTACATATTAGTACAGTTAGGCTGCAGTCTCATTTTTTGACTGAATTTTGACTGTTTTATTCTATGGTTTTCTGTACTGCCTATAATGATACTTCTAATGAACATATTGACAGCCAGTTTTTAACACGGGCTTCCCCTGTGAGCACATTTCCTAATGTAAAATGCAACTGAACATTTAAACCGAGACATGATGTGTCAGTTCTTATTTCACTCAGCAATGTGCCAACATGTCTGTCTAAGGAGATCTGGACAGCCTAGTAAATGCCTGTGTATGAACAACTAGATTCCTTTCTTAAAAATTACTCATCATCTTCTACCTTTATGCACCGCATTAATTTTTGTTTTCCTTTTCAGCTTGTTCTAGAATAATCATTTACCAAATCAAGAGAAACTTGTCTTTAAAAAGATTCTGATCCTTCCAAAACCCATCACTGCATTGTCTTCCTTATGCCTCCCAAACAGCACACACTTACTTTTCCTGTGCAGAAACTCTGCAACAAGGGCTGCTACATGAACATAACACATGGCTGCCTGCAAAGTAAAAATGGAAAATTAAAATGTCATCTGTACATCTGTCTTGTTGTGTACCATGTTTTTAATTACATGAATTACCTCTGAAAAGTCTCCGTTTTTTACATGTATCTTTGCCATACTGTCCAGCCATGTTTTCCGGAGCTCTGGAGTACTTGCATAAGATTTGGCTAAACTGTACTGTAGATCTATCAACATTTCTGGATCCTTTTCATGTTCTTTCATTTGAGCGGTAGCCATAAGCACTGTACGGATTCTCTTTGTTAAATCTTTGACTTCAGAAGGAAAAGCAGTTGCCTGACACAAAACAAATCTAATTAGAAGCAAATACAGAAATAAAAGGCGTTCCAGGCTTTGCCAAAGACCATTGCTACCCTTTCAGCTAACACTCCACCTACTGCCAATTTGAAAATGCCGAGAACACAGGAGATAAGACTAACTAGCCTTTAGTTGCTGAACTCACACTGCATACAGTGCACAGTATTTCATACGCAACTAGAGCATTTCAATCCAAGTGTGCACAAGGCCTTTCTCTCCTGGTCACGCGCAAGATGCCAGGTTGGCTGTTCCCATGCTACAGTGAGGCAGGTACTTTGGCACCCTGAGGAGCTGGTATGAGAGCGAGACAGAAGCGCTCCATGCATGTGAATGCCCCGGGACGAGACCATAAACCATGCCTGAAGTATTTTTCATGTCATTCAGCATCTGGCTTGTTAGTCTCTGATGTGGTCACTCTTCAATTCCTAAAGGACCACAGGCATTTGTAGAGCTTCCCACCACAGGAATGTAATGAATAGTGAAAGAAACATAGGTTCCAGTCTCATGCCCTGCTCAGAGTGGGCCATCATCAAGCTAGAGCAAGGCTTGTCTGGCCAAGTTTTATACGTCCTTTCTGGGCCCTGCCCCAGGGCTGCACTGTGTTCTTGGGAAATAATTTTTTCTTTAAGTAAAGTTGGAATTTCCCTTGCAGCACCTTGTGCCTATTTGCCTCTTGTCCTGCCACTCCACACCTCCTAGAAGAACTTGACCTCCTCAGCTCTATAACCTCCCTTTCAGCAGTTGAAATCAGCAGCTAGGTCCCCCCTCAGCTTTCTCTCCTCCATGATGAGCCTGGCTCATGTTCCCTCTCCTTGGGCTCCTGCTCCATAGCTATCCCTGTGGCTCTGCATGGCATCCTCTCCAGTATACTGAAATCTCTCTTGCACTTATATAGATATATAAACCAGATATATGGATCATCTTGTGATGTAAAATATGAGCAGCAAGGTATGGGTCAGCGAAATCATAGAACGGTTTGGGTTGGAAGGGACCTTAAAGACCATCCAGTTCC